ATTTTTTTTTTTTTTTTTTTTTCATTTTTTTGTTATATTCTCATTCGCTCGCTCTCGTCTCTTGTCAGCCAGCCAATAACATTAAACAGCTGAGCTTGTTTGGAAACAACAACCGCCCGCCCATCCAAGTGGGGCGCGTCATCAACAAAATAGCCTGGAAGAAGGAGAAGGATTGAGGGTGATGATAGAGAAAGATGACAAAACAATCAAAGCAAAACAGTTTCAATTGTTGCAAAGAGCTCTGGGTGCGGGAATTACTTTAGCATTGGAAGGGCAAACAGTAAGCGAGCACGCAATTACAGTTGAAAAATTGAAGCGCTTCCCATTTCATTCCACATTCGCTCAGACTCTGGAAAGTATGCAAAAAAAAAAGAAGGAAGAGAAATAGTACCGTTAATGCATGCTTGTCCTTGATGGCATACTCGTTTTTACTGGTGTTGCTTATGGCAACTGCAGCGCTCTCACCAACCACAGCCCCTTTCACACAAAAGTGATGATGTGTAAATAGAGTGTAGATGTGTGTGTGTGTGTGAGTGCGCGAGTGTGAGTGTGCGTGTTTAAGAAAGCAAGCAGGCAGGCAGGCAGACAGGAGAGCCCGATGGCGCGACGTCACAGTTTACTGTTGCTGTTGTTGTTGCTTCTAGTGCTGCAACTGCGCTGCTAACTGCGCCGTTGACATAGTTTCATTTGAATTTAGGCTGTGCGAGCGAGATGGCCAACAAGTTTGTCATACTGGGCTCAGTTGACCTACATTTGGGCAAAGATGTGGCTGCAGCAGCAACAGGGGCAGCAGCAGCATCATCWCTCATGGTCAACCCCATGTTGATAGCATTGATAAGGATAACAGAGACATGCACATAAATAACGCTGATAATTGATATTTGATTTCATTTGCAGAGAGACAGCAGACAGCAGCAGCTGGAGCTACTGGTGGATCGCCGCAACTCCGGATTATTGTTTTTGATGTGTGCCTTGGCCAGGGGAGCAGCAATACAGTCAAATAGCAATAGTTATAATAACAACGTTAGCAATAATATCAACGGCAACCACAAATAGCAACAACAATCACCGCTTCAGCCTTAGCGTATACAACGAGCGCATCGTGTCCTCAGTGTCATAGAGCCCCACATCCAAAGCAGAAACAAACAACACAGACAACAACAAAAGCAACATGTCATCACCCAGCGCTGGTAAACGACGCATGGACAATGACGTCATCAAACTAATCGAATCAAAACACGAGGTCACGATCCTTGGTGGCCTTAACGAATTCCATGTGAAGTTCTTTGGGCCAACTGGCACACCCTACGAGGGTGGCGTTTGGAAGGTGCGCGTCTATCTGCCCGACAACTATCCATTCAAATCACCAAGTATTGGATTTGTCAATAAGATCTATCATCCCAATATTGACGAATCATCGGGCACCGTTTGCCTGGATGTGATCAATCAAGCCTGGACGGCATTGTACGATCTATCGAATATATTTGAATCGTTCTTGCCACAACTGCTCACATATCCAAATCCAGTCGATCCATTGAATCGAGATGCGGCCGCCCTCTATCTGCACGAGCCGGAGGAATATCATCGCAAGGTCGCCGACTATGTGCAGCGGTATGCGACCGAGGATGCGCTGCGAGCAGCGCAACAGGAGCGCGAGAGCAGCGACAGCGAGTCCAGCATGTCCGACTACAGCGAGGACGAGGCCCGTGATATGGAATTATAATATCGGTTTAAATATATTATCGAAACAACTAAAACAATAGTAGCAGCAGCCCTACTAGCTGCTGTCTAAAAAATGCCTCGATTTGAACTATATCAGATCGCCACGATATACAAAAAGAAAAAAAAAAAACAAATACAATTGAACAACACAAACACACACATATACACAAATACACACATACACAAACACATACACAAACACATACACACATACACATATATGTATCTATCTATATATATATATATATGTATGTATACACATAACAAATGAACGTGATTCGATGGACATACTTATAAATATAATATATATATGATCTAAAACCTTATATATGTATATTAATGTGTAAGCAACAAAAAGTTTGAAACAATTCTTAGTAATATAGCAATTATATAGTAGCTGACAAATCGAGTATAATACAAAGGAGAAAAACAAGAGACGGGCAGACCGAAAGCAAGAAACGATAATAATTTTGGATGGACAAGAGTTACCGATTGCATTGCAAATCCAATAAACGTACATAACTTAGAGAAATAACAGAAAATCACATAC